AAAGAGTATCACTGTCCAGTTCAAAGCCACCTCCTGCATAGCTTCCACGAGCCCCAGCAGCAAAAATGGGAGTGCCCTGCTTGTGAGCGACTGGCTGCCCCTTGGTGGGGAACTGGATACTACCTGCAGTATCCTGTGTAACTCTGGCCACTGGTGTCCTCATCCCAGCTGGCCTCCAGCACTGGGGGAGGCCAGCTGCCAGCTCCTTAGGTGACACTGTAACCCTCTCCACAGCCTCTGACATCAGGAACCTCTCAGTGCATGGCTGCTTCTGCTCCTGGCTCCTGGCAAGTTTGGGGAGAGCGGCATGGCTGTTTCCACCCAGCAAACTCTACTCTTCTCTTCGTACAGAGAAGGGGGCAGAGGACACCTTGCTTCTGCTAAAATGCCCCTCTCTTAGCAAAGCCTGGAGTGGATATTGTAGTGGGGACCACTCACTCTCCACCAAAATTCAATCTCCCCTGACAGAAACACGGCCAGGTCACCATCCAGACCAGGGGTGTCTGCACACTATGCCCCTCGGGCCAGATCAGACCACCGCCTATGTTTGAATGGCCCATGAGCTAAAAATGGTTTTTACATTTCTAAATGGTTGAAAAAAGAAAATATATTCATTACACATGAAAATTATATGAAATTCAAATTTTACTGTCCATGAATAAAGTTTTATTGGGATATAGCCATGCCCATCCATTTGCATATTGCCAACGGCTGCTTTCAAGATACAAGGGCAGAGTCAGATACTTGCAACACAGAGAATATGGCTCTCAAAGCTGAAAATATTTCCTATCTGGCCCTCTACAGAAAACATTTGCTGACCCCAGGTCAGGATTCCCTTTCCCAGCCTCCCTTGCAGCTGGGTGGGCCCATGTGCTAAGCTGTCACCAGTGGAAGTGGAATGGAAGTGATGTAAGATATCGGGGTGCCCCCTCCATGCTCTCTTCCACCTCCGGCTAGAGCCAGGCATGGCAGCCCCTGCCACCGAGACCACAAGAAGGCTCTCAGGGAGGGTGGGGCAGTGGGTCGGAGCACCCCAGTCCCTGAATGACTGGGTCAGAGCTGCCCTGCCAACCTGGGCCGTTCACCTTACACTGTAAGGTGAGAAAGGAAGGAACTTCAATCCTCCTTATGCCACTGCATTATCATGATAGAGCAGCCTGTCCTCACCCTGACCAGTACGGATGTTTATCTCCAGCTGAGCACTGTCTCCAGAGACCTTTACTTTAAAGTCCCAGTCATGTCATTTTAGGATATTGTCCTTGTGCAGGAGGAGATGCACACCATAGATGCGGTTGCGCCCCTCCTCGAATCATCAGTACCCTGTAAACCCGATAAGAGAATTGTTCATCTTAGAGTTCTCCTGTTTATGAGGAAAAGAGGGGCACTAGCTCAATAAGACAGACTCAGGGAGAGAGACTAGTTCAGTATAAAGCAGGTCCTCACCAAGATCCCAAAACAGAAGGCCAGGAGCAACAAGCTCCATGGAAACCAGCACTGTGAGTCACCCGTCCAAGACCAGGGGTCTCTCTCATCGTATCCACGCACCTCTCTGCCCTCCTTCTTGGCTGGCCAGCTCCCTCCAGCCACTCACAGCTGGCGACCATGATTGGCCCCCAGTCCTAAGTGTAGCTCATCAGCTCTTCCCCCTCCCAGGCTCAGCCTCCTTCTGACACCTCCACCAGTTAGGAGTCAAATTGGCCCATCTTAGGCTTTTGAGTCATAAAACCCAAAGCATACAGTGTAGGGAAGCCTTTGCTTCAAGTGCCCACCTTGGATCAACCAGCTGAGGTCTGGAGGATACAGACACGTGACATAAACTCAGCTGCCACCCACGCAGCATGCACTGGGGGACAGAGGGTTCCCTAAGCCAGGAACTCGACCCCTCTAAGGGGCTGAGGAGTTCCACGACTAAGGGCTTGGACTTGGGGCTAGGATGCCGGGTTCAGCTCCACCTCCTTCTTAGGCGACCATGAGCAAGTTTAGTACATTCATTTTCGCTTCTACGAAATAGGAAACATAACTAAATCACCTGCCTCATAGGGTTGTCAAGAGGATAAAATAAATTAATCCATGTAAAGCACTTAGAACAGTACCTCCTGACACACAGTGAGCTTACAGGGAAGGTGAGTGATTGGAATTATTATTAACATTATCTCTAAAACGAGAAGGAAATAAGTCAAGGCTCTATTCCTTTGCTCTAAAACATCTCAATGTTTGCTCAGTGAATGATTCAAGTCAGCTTGAGAAAAGCACAATGATTGGGCCACAGGTGCACCTTCCTAAGGAGCCCAGGGTACATGGCTGTCATCTACTGAGGACTCACTCACTCACTCTATGCCCATCCTGTGCTCGGCCCTCTACACACATTAGCCCACTTGCTGGATGACATTCCAAGAGGGTCAATAAGTTGTCCAAATGCACGCACTTCAGGCTTAATTCCACTCACTATGTATTTCCATCAGCATGGATAACCCAAAGGGTCCACTGCAGGCCAACTGCTGAGTCCTGCCCATTTGGAGATAAGCCTGCTAAAGACAGAGAAAGGGGTTCCAGGAGCAAGGAGATGGAAGGTAGAGTGATGTGGACAAAATGTGAGGAGGCCCAGAATTGGGAAAGGAAATGCAGCACCATCTTGGGGAAAGCGCCTCGGGTTTGGGGCAGGGGGAATAGGGGACATGGCTATGTGCATGGTCCAACCTCCCCCATCAAGCTATCCAAATGCATGCAGCAGAGTCCCCAGTTAGTAAACAGAGCCCTGGCCTGGAGCAAAGTCAGCAGCCCTGGTTGCCTGTCCCAGCTCTGCCTCCCTGTCTCTGTGTGACCTTGATAGTGAGGCCCCTCTCCCAGGCACAGTAGTCATATGTGGTAGACGAGACGACTCTAAGGCCCTCCTGACTCTGGTCCCACTATGGTGATTTTCTAGTTTCTGTTGTGTTCTTAGGGGCAAGCCGTGAGCACACACCACGCCATGACTTCCATCCCAACCTGGGATCATGGACTTTCACTCCAAAATTTATTGTGTGCTTAAGAGTCATGGGAAAAAAATAATACTATTATCCTCAAAACCCCAGCAGGTCTTTAATGACTACTCTGCTAATTAGCAGCAGCTGTTAATGAAGTGTGCAGGTACAAGCCTAGCCTCGTCAATTAATCCATACATGCTCCTGGGCTGCAGTAATAGTTAAAGGAGAAATCAATACCTGGCAGCTGGGCCTGGGGAGGTCGGTCCAGGTGGGCAGGAAAGGTGTAGCATTTCAAGGCATTTGTAACTAAAACAGCTTACGCCTAGAGCACAGTGCAGGGGAGCAGAAACCAGGAGAGCCCTTAAGGGGCACAGGGATCCAGGAATGCCTGCAGAGTTGGGGGCAGAAGGGACTGGGTCGGCAGGGCGAGCTGGCACCTGCTCCCTCCATGGGAAGGTAGAGAGCTCCAGCCAGGCCAGCAGGGGTGTACAGAGGTAACCTCCCTCTCCAATTCATCATATCACAAAATCCACTTATTCCTGCAGGGTGTGGAGGCTAGGGAGCCTACTATTACCTCCTCTCGGCAGATGTAGGGATCAAGGCTCACTCCAAGCGAGACACCATCTTGTCCAAAGTTGCAAAGCAAGTGAGAGTAACAATTGCTTTTGTGACCTGTGCTGTGCCAAACAGCCTACACGCATCATCTCATTTGATCCTTACATGTCTATGAGACAAGAACGACTATACCACTGCTTTGGAGATGTAAGTACTGCAGCTTTGAGAAGTTAAAGCCCTGCCTAACAAGGCTGGTCATTGGCAAAGCGGGTGTTCAAACCCAGGCTGCCTGACTTCAGAGCTCATAAACTTAGCACACGTGGGCTCCTGAGCAGCAATAAGCCTTCAGCCCTAGAGAACAAGATCCAAAAACTCCTTTGCGTGATCTACAGCATCTTGAACTCTGGCCCTCTGTATTAGTTTCCTATTGCCGCTATAACAAGGTACCACATACCTACTGGCTTAACACAACATAAATCTACTATCTTGCTGTTCTGGAGGTCAGAAGTCTGAAATGATTTTAACCGTGTTAAAGTCAAAGTGTTGGTGGGACTGCATTCCTTCTGGAGGCTCTACGGAAGAATCTGTACTCTTCCCTTTTTCAGCATCTAGAGGCTGCTTGCATTCCTTGGTTAATGGCTTCTTCCACCCAGTCGAAGCCAGCAATCCAGTCACTCCAACCTCTGCTTCCATCACCACATCTCCCTCTCCGACTCTCTTCTTCTGCCCCTGTCTTATAAAGACCCTGTGTTTACATGAGGCCCACTGAAATACTCCAAAATACTTTCCTGAATTATCCTGGATAATAGAGTCCCTTTTGCTCTGTGAGGTAACATAGTCATAGGTTCCAGAGATTAGGACGTGGCCACCTTTGGGGGGATACTAGTCTGTATACCATACTGTCTCATCGGCTACTCCTTCCCCTAGGGCCACCCGTGCTCTACCCTCCTCAAACACCTGTATCAGTCAGCATCCAGTCAGAGAGACAAGACCATTCCTGGTATTTCAAACAGAGGGAATTTAATATTCCACAGGTGATGGAAGAGCTGAAATGCCAAACAGGGGCTGTTGAAGCAACCTAGAAATCAGCAAGAAGCCTTTTCTCACCTTCTCCACTCCACTCACACAGCCACACGCAGCCAAGGTCAGTGGCACCCTCCTCCAAGCTACAGGGATCTACGTGCCAACGAAACGGCTGAGATCCCTAAGCCTCTGTCTGATCCATGGCGTGTCCCAAGCACTGAGCCCAGAGCCTTGCACAGAACAGGTGCTGAGAGAAAGTCACCTGGGCCAGGGCTCCTCCCTCCACACCAGAGGTGAGAGCACAGCCACAGCCCAGGGCTCCCCAGAAGAGGTCATGGTGTAGGTGAGGCAGGCAAATAAAATGCAGCCACTCAGCAGCTGACTGTCAGCCCCTGAAACCAGGGTCAGTGTTGAGTGCACTTTGCTGCCCATCACAGGCTCAGGCAACATGGGTCTTACCTTTTCGGAGAAAGTGCTGAGGGAAGAGACCTTGGGCCAGGGCGTGGGGTACATGCTCCGGAGGGCCTGGCAGGAATCTGTGATGCACAGGCTGCTTGAGGGGAGTACCGAGCCGGCTTTCAGCTAAGCCATGGAGTCCACCTTCTTCCCCTATAAGAGACATGGGAAGGCACCATGATTATAATCCTGGGTTAATAACCTTTCCCTGATTGGATGTTATTCCATGGCTCCTCTTCCCCAGCTGCTCATCCTAAGATGTCTGAGAAAGGGGAAAGGAGGAGATTGAAAGAATATGCCAGGGAGGAAGAAGGAAAGGGAGGGGCAGGAGCCGGGAACCAGCCTTTCCCAGTGAGCCTGCGTCAGGGCCGGAGGGGGACACGTACTCTACGATATGTAACTTCACCTCACATCCACCCAGGGGTGCAAGCATCCCCCTCCCCGGCCTGGGGATGATGTCTTACTCCAGGGACCCCTATCCTGGTGAACGACACCACGCGCTAGCACGTCCACCAGCTAGCAGACTACACCCCTTGGGGTGGCAGGGAGACGGGCAGGGTCGGGGGGAGGGGGCCTCCGAGCCTCACTTCTCTCCCTAGGGCTCCTCCTTGCACTCTGGTCAGTCTCCAGGCCCTGGCCAGTCTACCTGTCCTCCATCCTGTCCTCAGTGCCACAGCCTTGATCAGTCTCCTGCCATTCCCTCTGCTGGGTTCCTCCATTGGCCTCCTAACTAGTGTCCCTGCCTCCAGCTTCACCCCTAATCTATTCTTTACATGCTGCCAGGACTGTCTTTTCTGAAATAGATCTGGTCATGTCACTCCCTTACCTCAACGCATGACTTCCCGCCACGTCCAGGGGATTCAAGGCCTTCACAGCCTGGCTCCCTCACCCCTCCTCTCCCACCTCCTTCCCTTCTGCCTCAGATCACCCTCCGGGAGACTATCTGTAGGTTCCCCCCTCCCTCCCTCCCTCCCTCTCACTCACACACACACACACACACACACACACACACACACACACACACACACACACACACACACACACACGACCTATTTACATTTGCTGCTCTCTGTGCCTGGAATTCTCTCCTTCCCCCACCAAATTAGGAAGCTCACCAAATTAGGAATCTTTAAAATACTATTCCAGGGCTTCCCTGGTGGCGCAGTGGTTGAGAGTCTGCCTGCTGATGCAGGGGACACGGTTTCATGCCCCGGTCCGGGAAGATCCCACATGCCGCGGAGCGGCTGGGCCCGTGAGCCATGGCCGCTGAGCCTGCGCGTCCGGAGCTTGCGCGTCCGGAGCCTGCGCGTCCGGGGCTTGCGCGTCCGGAGCCTGCGCGTCCGGAGCCTCCGCAACGGGAGAGGCCACGGCAGTGAGAGGCCCGCGTACCGCAAAAAAAAAAAAAAAAAAAAAAAAAAAAAATTCTATTCCAAATCTCGAGTCTTTGGAATCACCTTCAAGAGTCACCTCAGATCTGAAGATTCCCCTGTGCTGTCCCCACCCTGACGCCAGCCCCTCCTGCTGCCCCTGTCCTGCTTCTCCACGGGGTCTGTACCTGGTCCCGTCCACGTCAGCTGCACCACCTCCAGGTCTGGCATTTGGGGGAAAGATGGGCAAGGCAATCCCCTGAGAGTGCCCACAGGCATGGCAGGAGCAGGAAGTGGGCTAGGGCAGTGGATGTCCATTCATAACCACTGATGTTCCACTACATGTTCTATCAGGACCCTCCTTCCTTTACTATCCCTGGTGCCATGGGGACCCGAGTAACAGAGAGAAGACAGGAACCAGTCTGGCTGCTCACTGAAGATTAGGAAGTGTTACTGATGTCATGATACCTACCAACACCGCGGGAAAACGATATACCCCTTTTCAACGCTATTTCAAAGGATTTCATTTGAACCAAGCCTGTGGATTAGTCAAAAACCCCTTCTCCCTTTGTGCCATTCAGTTCAGCCATGCCATCACCATAACGACCAGCACCCCATGACAAGCCAGGGTCACTGGGGGAGATGAGAGGAGTCAGCCTGCCAGTGTAGTCCTTAGCGTAACTTCAGGACCTATCGGCTCCTTGGAAGCTTGGAGCATCCTATAATAGTCTCCACTCAGCCACGAGCGTCACAGGATCTGCGATGAATCTGGGCTCGGCTGATTCACTCAGCATCTTGCCACTTCAATGTGCCCCATGTCAAGCGATCCAAGAATCATCGACCCAACTGCCACTCATTCAATGATTCTCCAAATATGCACTGAAAGCCTAACAGTTATAGCAGTCCTCCAAGGGCTGGGGGCACAGGAGCAAAGCAAACAGCCGCTCCGTGCCCCCACAGAGCTGGGACTGTAGTGTGGGGAGTCAATAACGAAGCACTAGTCAACGTGGGGAAGACAGAGAGGTGTGCTCTGGAGAACGAAAAGGCAGAGAAGGCAACAGGAAGGCTTTCTTCTTATTTTGCAAGAAGAAAGGGCAGATTATTCCAAGACCAAGCAAATGGCAGTTTCCCCCATACTTAAGAGTTGAGAAAAAGTAAGATAATAGGGAACAGAGGCCTGTGTTAACAGTGTCCAGTCCTGGACAGTAAGGGAGAAGGAAGTGTCACCCCAGGACTGCTGTTCTGTACGTGGAGACCCCAGGATAGGGCACCCCCAGCTCTCACGACACAGTGGTCCGAACAGGCCTCCCCCAGAGCGTGCACAGAAGCACCATCCTGCCCAGCATGCCCGCCCTCACGCACCCCCCGTACAGGCTCCTTTCTCCTCCTTCTCATCCCTCCCAAGCTCTGTGCATCTGTGCCTTTACTCAGGCTGTTCCCTGCCCCTGCAATGACCTTCCTCCCTTCTCCTTCAAATGCCGGCCCGCTCCAGGCTCAACTCAGCGCCAACCCATGAAACTGCTCTGGTCACACCTCTCGTTCCTCTGAGTCCCCAGACTACGGTGCCCTGGTCCCTCTGTAGCGAAGCTATTTGTGAACATGCACCTGGTTGCCCCGCCCCGGGGGCACACACACTTAGGACAGTGCATGCAGAGGAGGGAGAAGGGGACAGCGTGCAGGGAGGCCCACACCCCACCAGGAACACCATCTCAGCTCATCCTCACGCCGGCAGCACAGGACAGGCAAGTACACGGCCACAGCCCAGCGGCCAGCAGCCATTTGTCCATGTCACACTTGAGTAAGAGGCTGAGCTGAGGGCAAACGGAGCTCCGGCTGACTGCAGACCTTCTTCCACTCTGCCATGCTCCCTGATCCCAGGAAGCACTCAACAAATATCTGATGGGTAAACGAGTGTCTGAACAAAGGAACATCTGCCCTGTCCCCTCCCCAGTCCCAACACCCTCCTCTGCCTCCCCCTAGACACACAGGCCACGCTGGGCTTTGAGTCTCCAGGAGGAGAAGCTCTTCTGGTGCCTTGAGCAGCATCATATCTTGAGGGAGGGCCTTTTTCCAACCGCCGAGCTGGCTTCTTAACTCTGTCTCCTAGAGAACTTTCTAGACTCTTCCTCCAACATTGAAAATGGGAGCCTCGTTTTTATGAGGTTCTAAGGCTATACTCAGTGAGAGCCTGGCATCAGCAAGTATCAGACTCAAAAGCCCTTCCAGGTCTAATGGGCCAGCCGTTTGCTCTCACAGAAGGGAGGGGACTCAATCCCAAATACACAGCCAGCAGACAGACCTGACCAGGCCACCCTGCTCCCAGCCTCACACTCCTCCAGCCACGCCTGGGAACAGCGTCCCCCTCTCACTTCCAGTGCTGCTGGGTACACGGTGAGGCAAACTGGACCGTCTTCCTGACCTTGTCCTGTGGCTGGAAGGAAGCAGGCATTGTCTGCGGATCACACGGAAGGCACGGATGCGCAATGTTCATTTGTCAGTTCATACGAGGGAGCTTTTGTCACGCAGCCCAGGGCAGGCAGGCGGGGATGCTCCCTGAGCATAATCAGGCCAGGGCTGTCATTTCACAAGATATGGGGTCACGCTCATGTTAATGGGAGGCACACACATTTCTCACCTATCTGAAGGGAAGCTTGAGAAGGGAATTAATTCTCACAGTGGTGAGGCGTGTTTGATTGCTGCTGGTTCAGAGGAAACCAGCCCCAGCCTGGGGTGAGAGCCTCCCCGCTCCTTCCCACGCTCCTTTTCCCCTCACCACTCCTCAGAGCAGGGCTCAGCCCTGCCTCTGCAGAGCCACCAGAAAATGGGCAGAGAGGAAGCCAGCGCAGTCCGGGGATGGAAGAGACAGCAAAAACGCAGGGGAAGGAGGAGAGGAGGGAGGAGTGACAGGGGACCGCCCCCCACAAAGGGCATCCACATGCCACGTGCAGATCGAGGAAACACGGCTCCCCCACTCCTACACCCTTCTTCCCGACACCCTTCAGTCCAGAGCCCGCCAAACTGTCATCCCCGTCAGAAGTCGTACTTTATTGGGGCATGGCGGCAGAGGTCGGATGTGGGGCAGGAAGGGGTGACTTTTCGCTGCCACCTCTCCCTCATGGGGACTGAAGCCACCTCAGTGGGAGGTACTGGGTGATGGTGAGTGCTTCCTGCAGACAACTAGGAATAATACCCCCACCCCTAGCCAAAACTACCCCCCCCCAGAGGCCCTTAGAGACGAGCCACATGAAACAGGAGCGAAATGGACCGGCCTCATGGGTTCCAGCACTAGTCTGCCGCAGAATTAGCAGATCTAGGTGCAAGGCAACATTGGAGGGAAGAAACCTCATGAAAACGTACCACTCCACCGCCACCCCCAGAGGCAGAGCTGGTGCTGTGCCCCAACCCTGCACAGACTGTGGAAGGCAGCAGAGGAGGGGCAGGTAGGCTTAGGTCTGTTTCCAGGGCCCTGATCTCCAGTGCCCACTGCCAAACTCACCTGGGCCCTCCTGGTCCCAATAGTGCATTAATACAAAAATTCCACTGTAATCTGACTTCCCTTAATATCGCCCATCTCAACTCCATCCAAACCAGAAACCCCTGACTCAGGGGCTCCTCCCTCCTGCTCACCCCTCACCCACCCCCCAGTTAACACGTCCACTCAGTTAATATCGGGAACCTACTCGGCTGGGCGCTATTCTCACTGTTGGATACACTACCCAAGCCAGAAATGGCCCCTGCCCCCTGATGCTCACAGCCCCACGAGGGGCCCCAGTATGGGACCTGGCA